CTTTAAACCGTTTTAAATCTTCAGTTTTTTTTATGTTTCTGCAGAATTTAAACACAGACCTGCAGATCGTTGGTTCTGATCCAGAATCTTCATTAAGAAACAGGAAGTTCTGGATGAGTTTCAACCTAAAAGTAATTTGTTGCACATTTAAAAATAATCTCAGGTCTGTTGGTTTTAAAAGGAGACTCTTCCAGCTCTGTTTAGTCTATAATCAAATGAGTACATTTTAAATGATAAAAGTCTTAAGTATTTCATCATTTTAAGAATCTTTAAAAATATGAATTATTGATGAATTCAGAAACTTGAGTCAAATAACAGATTCTGGTGGGTTTTCTGATAAATGAGTAAAAACATCTCAACTTTACTCAGATTTAGCTCTTCTGAAAAAAAAAAAAAACAGAAGGAAACATTAAAGAAGCTTAATGAGGTAAGCTGCTTGTGTTTTCTAAGTCCACCAGTACATTAAGAGCATTATTACAAAAGTATTCATTCCTGCAGAAATTCAGGATTGAAGGGAAAAAAAACACTTTATTTAATAATCTAATCTAGTGTCTCCAAGAAGAAGACAGTGAATCCACCAGGTCTGTAAYGTGAACGAGGTCCTGGTCCACCTGAAACCTACACACATTTACAAAGTGTCCCAGTTTCCAACAGCTCCACCTGATCTCTGCCCGTCACTTTGTTGAAACATCCAAAAGACAACTTTACTTCAGGTTTGTGCCTCTTTTAATTCCGTTAGATCATGCTCAGCGCAGGCGCTGATAATCCAGTAATGCAGCTTAAAGCTCGAGACAAAAAGCCTGACAAAGTGATTATTTGTTCAGATATAATATGACGCTTAAGGAGTCTTAAACACGTTGAGTTGTGTTGAGGCAACAAGTTGGACTGCAGAGGGCTGGCTTTCTAATCTCATTAGCTGCCGAGTGCAGAGGAACCTCCACGGTCTCAACGGGTCTGTGTCGGTCCTCCGCAGAACCCGACCTCAGACCTCTGCTGCTCCTTCGCTAATTAAAACAACAATATCCACAGTAAGCTGCTCCACTTAGAACATTACTGAGTGCACATCTAATCATTCCCACTGCCAACATTTAAAGACCTTCACAGATGTGAGGGGACAGCCAGTAACAGTAARMKGGTCAAACAGGAAGAACCACAGGGRGAGGTTTGACCAGTTTTATGGTAAACTGGTCAAACAGGAAGAACCACAGGGRGAGGTTTGACCAGTTTTATGGTAAAATGAACGTTCATGCTTGAAACATTAAATAAAACTGATGCTTTCTATCTGCATGTATCTGTCGGAGCAGAAACTCCAGCTCCAGCATGGTCAAAACTAAAGACTAAATAAACATAATAATAACATTTTTACACAACAGAAGAACTCACAGATATGAGTTCAATAAAGCAAGAAGAAAATGAATGTCTTTATGCCAACATGTTTCATCCTGGTAACTGATGCTCATTTTGCAATTATAACTGAATGAAGGCACTGATTATTATCTACTTCAAAGGGATCCATGATTAGTTGTAAAATTAGACTTTATTTAATAAACATATATTTTAACTGTAAAATAAAAACTGTAAAAATACTGTAGGCTGTTTAGTTTTTATAATTTTTAAACTAAAAGTTAAACAATATGGGATGGAGCCATTTTATTTACACACAAAGCATTCTGGGTAAATGATGACGTGGATAGGTCCTCGGTGTGAGCGAGCTATATCCACCCTGAAGGTYAATCTTGGACAATAGCGATTAGCCWKTTAGCTTTAGCATAATGCTGCGTTCACACCGAACGCGATTTCAGCTTCAAAATCGCATCCAACGCTAAAGTTTGAAGCTTGTGCACTTTGAGGTCAGACGCAGGTCAGCTCTTGAAGCGCTGCACGGCAACAGCCTCCCCGCCCCTCCCTCCTCTGTCGGGCTCTGTTTAATGTCGGACGAGGAAGTGGCTTTGCTTTATTTACAGAGAGCAAGAGCATGTCACGTTCATCAGATAATTAATTCATAATTAATTCACCAGATAATTCAGAGTAGAGGCTCACAGCTCGCTTTCAGGACTATTTTTGTCCCGAGTCCAGTCTGATGAGTCGCTGCCACGCATTGGTGCGGATATCTCTGTCAGGACACCGACTGCAGGCACTCATTTCAGCTAAAGAGCTCCTCTCCATCTGTTTCAGGTTAGTGGACATCATTCAGTAAACTGTCCCGTCGGGAAATATGTCACTACGTCACACAGTGGAGTCTCTCTGATTGGTTGACGCAGTGCGATGAGCTGCAAAATTTCAGATTTTCTAACTTCAGCGATTTGCGCCTCAGTGCGTCGAACGCTCAGATCGTTCAAATCGCACTTGAGGCGCCGCAGCACTTCCCGACGCTGATTGAAGCACGTCCACCATAGACTTTGTATGTAAACCTGCTGCTCCTGATGCTGAAATCGCTTTTGGTGTGAACGCACCATAAGCCCCGACTCTATCACTATATATATGTATTAGCTCAGCGCTACACATTCTCTCATCACTGATGTCCCCTCTCTGTCATGTGGATGGAGGACCTCAGTTTAGCTTGTTTGTCGAGCTAGCACCGAGCTAATACATATAAGGCAATAATAGCGTCGGTCCTAGCACAAAGGCTAACAGGCTAATCTGAGGATCTTCTTCCATGAAGCAGCTCTGTTGTCCTCCATCCATATTTTCAGTTCCAGGCTGAGTCATTTCTACCTTCTCCTCTCTGTCAACGCTCTCTGGTTTCATTTAAAAGAGTCGATCATCAGATATTGTCCAAGATTAACCTTCAGGGTGGATATAGCTCGCTAGCAGCCTCGCACCGAGGACCTATCCACGTCATCATTTACCCAGAATGCTTTGTGTGGAAATAAGATGGCTCCGTCCGTGTTAAAATATATTTTTAAAAATGTACAAAATTAAACATCCTACAGTATTTTTACAGTCTTTATTTTACAGTTAAAATAAATGTTTATCAAATAAAGTCTAATGTTACAACTAATCCTGGATCCCTTTAACTTTATTTATTTATATCGCATATTTTAAAAACTTTAATGCAGAACAGTGTACCCACACCAATGTTACATCAAAACAACCAGCTTGGTTGTGGGGTGTGAACTATTACTTTTAGATGCATTTCAAGTAGCCATGGTGAAGTAAATTGCAAAAAACAACCTGCCAATTGACTTTAAAGAGTAAGCAGACCAAAAATCAACTTTTTGTAGATTAACTGTCAAAATTGTATGGAAGAGGATTAGGGTCACTTTTTTTCCCTCAGAATTCAGACTTTAATGAGATTAAAGCTAGCAGCATGGGGGTTCAAATGAATTAATTGTGATGGGGAAACTGCCGTTCCAAAATGATTACTGTGATATCCGCCATTTTATTAAAAAAATTCAAAATATACATACTTTAAAGTCATTTACAAGGAACAAGCTTTTTAAATTTTAAAGCCATCACCTCTTTTATATATGTTAAAAGTTTTATTTGCTTGTTGATGTTTACTTTTGTAAAGAAAAACTAATTATAAAACCCCAAAACTGGAACTAAAGACTAAAACAAGCACAATTACAAGCTGTATCTACTGTAGTGTTATCCCAAACTATTAAGTTATTTGCTTTTTTATTTCATATAATAAATATGATTTTGGTCTGTGAGAGAAAACTGGAGTACCTGGAAAAAACCCACTCCTGCACAGGGAGAACATGTAAACACAACCCAGAATGCTGATCAAGCAATTTCTTCCTTAGAGGCAATACATCAACTGTGCCACTGTACTGCCTAATTTTATATTAATTATATAATTATTAAAATGATTTAATTAACATTTTATTAAAATATATCCATGAATTTAACTTCCTGAGAACTTCCATCTT